AGACAGGGTTTCTCCATGTTGGTCAGGCTGGCCTCAAACTCCCAACCTCAGGTGATCCACCAGCCTCAGCTTCCCAAAGTGCTGAGATTACAGGTGTGAGCCTCCCTGCCTGGCTGTTATCCCTATTTTACAGATGAGACAGAGGTTAATAACTTGTTAAAAGTCTCCTGTGAGGGGTGAGAGCTTGGGTTCAAACTTGGGTTCTCTGCCTCCAAATCACACACTCTTAGCAACCAGTCTCTATTGCTTCTCTCTCCCTATGGGTGGGGGCCCTAGGGAACAGGTGTCAGGAAGAGGAGATAAGGGCAGGACCCAGAGTCAGGAGTAGGTGTCACAGCTCTAGGGTGGGGTGGGGAGGTTGGCAGGGCTCTCACAGCAGCTGTGGCCTGGATCAGTGGCGTGGCATTCTCTTGGCCTCCATTGACCCAGTTGACATCAGCTCCATGGGCAAGGGCATCGGCCATAGTGGGAAGAGATGGAGGATGTCCAGATGCTCGAAACAGCAGGGCACCAGGGTGCAGGCTTCCCAGGTCCTCAGACAGGGGCTCTGTTTGGGGGATTTGGTTCTGTTAGGGGGAAGCAGCTCCAAGTCCAGGAAGAAAACCCTTAGCACGGTGCCCCAATGTCATAATGGGACAGGTCTCTTCTGAATTGTGGGGAGGCTTGGGACTGTGGAGGAGTGGAGTGATGCAGGCATGGGTATGTGTACGTGTAGGAGCCTCTAGGGTGTGGGGAGACACGGCATCATCACCCGATCCAGTCCAACCACCGGATGACACACAGGTGAGCAGCCTCCTAGACACTTGGCCTCAGCTCTCAAGCCCTGCCACTCCAGCCAAACCCACCCCCACTCCCTCTCCTTTTCTCATGCTGCTGACACCCCTTATCCTCCCTGCCTACGCCCAGCCCCACACTCCTTCCCATTCTTCATGTGACACTCCACCATAACCCCTGCAACTGCAGTCTGGTCCTGCCAACATGCTCCAGGGGAAAGCCTTGGCCTTACCCTGTGTGCCTCCCTACGGAACCTGGCACAGGGCTGAGCACATAGAAGATGTTCAATGAATGCCCAACCAGCCCTATACCTGGCTTGGATCTCAAGCTTCCTGGCCGAGGCCTGATGGAAGGCTTCGGGGGCACAGGAGGCTGTCCCCTTGGGGGCCCCCGGCCACCTCTTCGCCCTCGAATCTCAGGCAGCTTGGTCAGGAACTTCTTCTCCACATATTTAGCTTGAATCCAGGCCTCTTTCTCCTGTCTGTGGGAGGGGAGAAGCAGACAGTCTTCCCACTTCTTGCTCCAGGTTCCCCCCATTCCCCTAGGAGGCTGAACCCCAAGCTCACCGGGAGCAGCTGGGCCCTGGTTTCTTCACTGCCATGGCCTCCACACGGGCCTCATAGATCTGGTTGATGATGACATTTCCCAGCTCACACATGAGCTTTAGGAGGCCCAGACAGAGTCAGAGACAGGGTGACGGTGAGTATCTGTCTCCTCAGGGCTCAGGCCCCTGCACCCCCATGTCCTTGCCCCCCACGTTCTTGCCCCCAATGTTCACAATACTCCAAGTTACCTTCACTAGTTCTGGCTCCCATGAGTCAAGGGTCAGAGACCGGACTTTGGAGAAGTGAACACCAAGACTCCTGGAGGGCCAGAGGGGAGGGTCAGGCCCTGTATGGGGAGTGGCCTGGGGAGCTGCGCTGCTCCTGGACACTGGGAGGCAAGGCCAGCAGGGGACCCCATGCAGAGGTGCTGGCCCAGGAGGCAGGGCAGCTGTGGCCATGTAGCCACCATGTAGCCTCTGCCTGGCCCCACAGGACCCTGCCTGGTCACCATTCCTTCTTCCTTAGGTTTCATTTCAAGGCCCTCATTGCTCTAGCCACCTCCCTTCCTAGTGACACTTTAGCCTGGACAGTCTCTCCCATGTCACCCCCCGTCCCTCCTTCCACCACACTGAGGTGGGGGGTGAGGGCTCTAGAGACTTCCTAAGGCCTCATGACCTCTTCTCTGTCTGGTCTTCATTGGCTTCCCCACCCTCAGCAACCTTGACTCTACATTTCTTCCAACCAAGCCAACAAACTGGGTGTCCCCCAATTCTGGCCAGACTAGGATACAGATGGGCTAGGCCCACCTGGGTTCAACTGGCAGCCCACAGGCTTGGGCCCAGGCCTGGTGCCCAATGACAAAGCCAGAAGCTAAGAGAGGAAGGCAGGACAGGGAAGGAAAGAGGGGCCTGTGTGATGAGCTCTATATTGGGAGCTGCACTGTAACCTGAAGGAGCATGGCTCATGCTTGGGCTTAGGGAGTGACCTGTGGATGCCGGAACACTCAATGCAGAGGGTGACACCAAGGTTGATGCTGGCCCACTCCGGGGCTGGCTCCCGGCAGTCGCAGCACTGGGCATTGCCATCCACACTCTGTACCTGGGCTGCCACGTGCCCAACTCCCCCAGGCTCCCTTCCCCTGGCCATTCCACCAGAGCCCAGGGTGGCAGCAGAGCCTATGGCCAGATGTCCCGAGCCCTGAGAGAGAGGGGGAGAAAGGGTGGCCGAGGGGCCTAGGGTAAGAGGTGCCCCATCCCCACAGGCAGCCTGGCTCTGCATCCCCACCCCCAGGTTAAGGTACCTGGCCCAGACCCCTGGGGCTGTCATCAAGGTGAGACTGACTGAAGGCGGAAGCGATGCTGCTCTGCACAGCACTGACCCACAGCTGCAGGAGGCGCTCTGAGTCAGCCTGGAGGAAGCAGGACCTAGGTAGGAGGGTGAGGGAGAGAGTAGCGGGGTCTGAGGCTGGGAAGCAAAGTGGCAGGATGGGCAGGCTGACACTGAGCCAGTATTCAGCCAGTCCCAGTTATATTGAAAGACTTCTAGCCAGGTGCGGTGGCTCACACCTGTAATTCCAGAATTTTGGGAGGCGGAGGCAGGTGGATCACAAGGTCAGGAGTTCAATACCAGCCTGGCCAATATGGTGAAAACCCATCTCTACTAAAAAAAATACAAAAAGTTAGCTGGGTGTTGTCTTGTGCACCTGTTGTCCCAGCTGCTCGGGAGGCGAGACAGGAGAATTGCTTGAACCTGGGAGGCGGAGGTTTCAGTGAGCCAAGATAACACCTCCACTGCACACTCCAGCCTGGGCGACAGAGCAAGACTTTGTCTCAAAAAAAAGGACTTCTAGCCAAGCACGGTGGCTCACACCTGTAATCCCAGCACTTTGGGAGGCTGAGGGGGGTAGATCATGAGGTCAAGAGTTTAAGACCAGCCTGGCCAACATGGTGAAACCCTGTCTCTACTAAAAATACAAAAATTAGCCAGGTGCGGTGGCAGGCGCCTGTAATCCCAGCTACTCCGGAGGCTGAGGCAGGAGAATCGCTTGAACCTGGGGGTGGGGGGGCGGAGGTTGCAGTGAGCCAAGATCGTGCCACTGCACTTCAGTTTGGGCGACAGAGTGAGACTCTGTCTCAAAAAAAAAAAGAAAAAAAGAAAAGGACTCTGTACCAGTTGGTAATATTCTCCTAAATATCCCCCATCACCCTGTACCCTCTCCCACAACAGCCCCCCAATCTAGCTGCCAAAGGGTTAAGGTCTGGAGCTGCATGGGGGGCCTCCATTGTGGTGGGCCCTGCCTTTCAGATTGGTAACTATTTAGATATATTAGAGTATCAACCTGGCGATTGCACTCACTTGCTGGTGGACACCACCTCAAAGCAGAACCGCCTTTCTGAGTCAGGGCAGAGTTTGACTGTGCAGAGACGAAGGTCGTCCACCACCACAGTCACAGGGTCCTGGCAGGACAAGGTGAAAGGGGGATGGATGTCCAGCCTCAGGCAAAGGCTGAGTCTCCCTGGGGCCCAGGCACCCAGGACCCAGGCCTACTCACCTTGTACTTCTTCTGGTAAACCAGTTGGTTGCTCTGAATGGTGAACCAGCGTCTGTAGATGGAAATCATTACAGACATGGGCAGCTTTAGGATGAGGGACGGAGGAGAGGCTGTGCTCTTTGCCCATGAGGATCTTACTGAGAGGAGAGACACCTGGGCTTACTGTTCCATGAGACATTCTAGAGAAGGGTGGACAGTTGTGCAAATTGGAACACCTAAAGGGTGCTGCTATTCATATTCTGGACAACCCAGATTTGACACAGTTATGAAGACAACTTTCCAGCAGATGGCGGTAAAATTCTTTTTCTAATAAAACGACTACTGCTACAATTAAAAAAAAATACTTTTTAGGCTGGGCTCACACCTGTAATCCTGACACTTTGGATCACCTGAGGTCAGGAGTTCAAGACCAGTCTGACCAGTATGGTGAAACTCCGTCTCTACTAAAAATAGGAAAATTAGCTGGGTGGGGTAGTGGGTGTCTGTAATCCCAGGTACTCGGGAAGCTGAGACAGGAGAATTTTTTTTTTTTTTTCTGAGATGGAGTCTTGCTCTGTCACCCAGGCTGGAGGGCAGTGGCTCCATCTCAGCTCACTGCAGCCTCTACCTCCCGGATTCAAACAATTCTACTGCCTCAGACTCCTGAGTAGCTAGGATTACAGGTGTGCGCCACCACTCCCAGCTAATTTTTGTACTTTTAGTAGAGACAGGGTTTCACCATGCTGGCCAGGCTGGTCTCGGACTCCTGACCTCATGATCTGCCCACCTCACCCTCCCAAAGTGCTGGGATTACAGGCGTGAGGCAACCCACCCAGCTGAGACAGGAGAATCTCTTGATCCCTGGAGGCAGAGATTTCAGTGAGCTGAGATTGTGCCACGGCACTTTCCAGTCTGGGCAACAGAGCGAGACGCGATCTCAATATAAATAAATAAATAATTTAAATACTTTAAAAATTAATTTTCTTTCTTTCTCTAGACACCAGTGTTACTTGCCAAGATTGCTAAAATGTTTGACAAATGAAAGTATCAGGCCAGGAGAGGTGGCTCACCGTGCCTGTAATCCCAGCATTTTGGGAGGCTGAGGTGGGTTGATTACCTGAGGTCAGGAGTTTGAGATCAGCCTGACCAACGTGGTCAAACACCATCTCTACTAAAAAAAAAAAAAAAAGAAAAAGAAAAAGAAAGTATCTTGGGGGCTGGTAATCCCAGCACTTTGGGAGGCTGAGGCAGGCAGGTTGCTTGAGGTCAGGAGTTCGAGACCAGCCTGGACAACATGGTGAAACTCTGTCTCTACCAAAAATACAAAAATTAGCCAGGCATGGTGGCACACACCTGTGGTTCCAGGTACTTAGGAAGCTGAGGAGGAAGGATCACTTGTGCTCAGGGAGTAGAGGTTGTAGTGAGATGAGATTGCCCCACTGCATTCCAGGCTGGGCAACAGAGTGACACTCCATCTCAAAAAAACAAAAAACTAAAAAAAGTGTCTTGGGGAAGTGGCTCCATTTTTTAATTTGCACAGAGATCCCACATGGGCTAGCAGTGGCGCTGGAAGGGGAAGGAGTCAAGTCAGAGCATGTCACCATCCTGTTCCAAACTCTGTAGCAGCTCCCAATTGCCCTCAGAGTAAACCCCCAATCCCTACAAAAACCATAGGGCCCTATAATGACTCATGCCCCCATTAGCTCCAATTTCACCTCATACTACTTCCTCCTCCGTCACTCTTTCCAGACCCAGGGCCATCTCCCTGCTCTTCCAAAACCCCAGCTAGCTTAGGGGCTTGGCACTGGCTCTTCCTTCTGTCTAAAACCTTCTTTTCTTCTTTTTTTTTTTTTTTTTTGAGACGGAGTTTCGCTCTTGTTGCCCAGTCTGGAGTACAATGGCACGATCTCAGCTCACCATAACCTCTGCCTCCTGGGTTCAAGTGATTCTCCTGCTGCCTCAGCCTCCCGAGTAGCTGGGATTACAGGCATGCACCACCACTCCCGGCTAATTTTGTATTTTTAGTAGAGATGGTGTTTCTCCATGTTGGTCAGGCTGGTCTCAAACTCCCAACCTAGGGTGATCCGCCTGCCTCAGCCTCCCAGAGTGCTGGGATTACAGGTGTGAGCCACCACGCCTGGCCTCTGTCTAGAACTTTTTTCCCCAAGATATCCTTCAGGTCTTTGTTCAAAAGTTACCTTCTCATGAAGCCCACCCTGCCCAGCTATTTAGAATTGCAACCCCTATCCAGCTCTCCACATCCCTTGCTTCGTTACCTTTCTCCTATAGCACCATCACCTTCTAACATAGCATGTAATGTACTTACTAGGTTTATCGCCTGTCTTCGATGATGGAATGTAAACTCTACAAAGGCAGGGGGTTCATCCGTTTTTCCTTGCAGTGCTTAGCACACTATTACCACTCAAAATACATAATTGGGTGGGGTGGGCTGATCGGGGTGTCCTCTCCTTACCTGCTCCAGGTCTTAAATGCGTTGCTGGCCCGTTTGAAGAGATGTCCTTCCATCACCAGGCCCCCAGGCCCCTCTCTTAAGCCTGGTTCTGGCTCCTCCCCACCCAGCTCCTGGAGGCACAAGAGGATCAGTGAGCAACTGAGGTGGGCAGAGACGACGGCTACAGGTGTCTGCCTCCTGCCCACAGCCCCAGCATCAGCCCCAGGCCTCACTTTCTGCTTTTTGAAAGAAACATTTTTTTTAGATGGAGTCTTGGTCTGTCACCCAGGCTGGAGTGCAGTGGCGCGATCTCGGCTCACTGCAACCTCCACCACCCTGGCTCAAGCAGTTCCCCTGCCTCAGCCTCCCGAGTAACTGGGATTACAGGTGCCCATCACCACACCCAGCCATTTTTTTCTTTTTTTTGTATTTTTAGTAGAGGCGGAGTTTCACCATGTTGGCCAGACTGGTCTCGAACTCCTGACCTGAGCCAATCTGCCCACCTTGGCCTCCCAAAGTGCTGGGATTACAGGCGTGAACCACCGCGCCTGGGCTTTAAATATCTTCTAAAATTTATTTTTAGAGACAGGGTCTTGCTCTTTCACCCAGGCTTAAGTGCAGTGGTGTGATCATAGCTCACTGCAGTCTTGAACTCTTGGGCTCAAGCAATCCTCCCACCTCAGCCTCCCAAGTAGCTAGAACTACAGGTGTGTGCCACCACACCAGCTAATTTAAAAATTTTCTGTAGAGATGGAGTCTCACTACGTTGTGTAGACTAATCTTGAACTCCAGACCTCAAGCGATCCTTCCACCTCAGCCTCCCAATATGCTGGGATGACGGTCATGAGCCACCACACCTGGCCCCTCACCTTCTGTTTCAGCAGCACGTGTCTCTGCTCCATGTCCCTCTTCTCTCGTGCTGAATTCAAGACCAGCTGGTACAACTGGGCACAGGAAGGATATCTCAGATGTCCAAGGCCCCCCTATTAGAAGAGTCGTCTCAGAGCTCCCTAACCTCCTTCCATGACCTGCCTGTGCCCTTGGTCCCACCTGGGCACCCAGCTCCTTGCGATACTGGGCCAGCCGGCTCAGCTCCTCATGGCCCTGCTGGAAATGGGTAGCCTGGGCCTCCACCAAACGCAGCACCTGGGAGACAAGGTGGGCAGGGGCCAGGCTGAGGAGGAACCCCTTTCCCCTTGGTCTTGTGCTCGCAGCAGGCTCCTCTCCACTCTGCCCTCACCCATACCACAACTCACAAACTCCATGATGTCAAACTTCCTCTTGTCCTCAATCACATTGATCTGAGGATGCAAAAAGATCCCAGGTCAGTCTTGAAAACATAGCAACCCTTCCCACTGCACACTGGGGACTCCCCAGCCTCCAGGTGACACCTGAGGCTCTGGTACCCCATGGAGACAGGTTGGGGCAGACACCTGCAGGGCATAATCCAGTGCCCGTCCTCGGTATCCAGCTCGAGCCGTCCTCAAAGCAGCTCCTGCCTCTTCTGCCTCCTGGGCCCGGCGCCTGGGAACCTCTGCGTTGTGAGTCAGAGCAGCCTCCAGGCTCTCAGCCCCTCGCCAGAACTCCCGGCGAGCCTCTCGGAAACCCCGCAGACCTCTGGGGATGGGGACATAACAGAATCGCAGCTGACACCCACCTGCCCCAGCAGAGCATTCCCAAGATAAGGCCCTCATGTCCTTTCAGTTAGTCTCTGCATCATGGGAAACCCGAGGGGATCCCTGGGATGGAAGTCAGACCATCAGAAACCCCCAATCCCACAACTCTGTCACTGGGGAGGCCCCTGTGTTCATGGGAAGAGGGCAGAGGGCTGGTTTCTGGGAAATAAGGTCCCCTTCCCTCCCATCTCACTCCTCTCCTCTTTTGTTTTTGAGACAGGGTCTTGCTCTGTTGCCGAGGCTGGAGTACAGTGGTGCCGTCTCAGCTCACTGCAACCTCTGCCTCCTGGGTTCAAGCAATTCTCCTGCCTCAACCTCCTGAGTAGCTGGGATTATAGACACCTGCCACCACTCCCAGCTAATTTTTTTTTTTTTTTTTTTTGAGATGGAATCTTGCCCTATCACCAAGCTGGAGTGCAGTGGCGATCTTGGCTCACTGCAGTCTCCACGGCTCAAGCGATTCCCTGCCTCAGCCTTGCGAGTAGCTGGCGCTACAAGAGCATGCCACCATGCCTAGCTAATTTTTGTATTTTTAGTAGAGATAGGGTTTCACCATGTTGGCCAGGATGGTCTCGAACTCCTGACCTTGTGATCCACCCGCCTTGGCCTACCAAAGTGCTGGGATTACAGGCATGAACCACCACGCCCGGCCTTTTTTTTTCCTGTTTTTAATAGAGACGGGGTTTTGCCATGTTGGACAGGCTAATCTTGAACTCCTGACCTCAGGCGATCCACCTGCTTTGGCCTCCCAAAGTGCCAGGATCAGAGGCATGAGCCACTGCGCCCAGCCTAATTTTTGTATTTTTTGTGGAGACAGAGTTTCGCCGTGTTGGCCAGGTTGGTCTCAAACTCCTAGGCTCAAGCAATCCTTCCGCCTTGTCTTCCCAAAGTGCTGGGATTATAGGCGTGAGCCACCGCGCCCAGCCCCATCTCACTCCTTGACCAGGGTCTGGATCTGCTGCTGCAGCGTGTGTTGGATGGCATCTAGAAGCTCCTAAGGGAAGGAGAAGTTGGTAGGTTGGGGTGGACCGCAGACGACCTGGCCACCATCCCTGCAATCCCGACCTTCCCCTATTTACCGCATGGCTGTCCAGCTTGTGGTTCAGGCTCACAGTGAATTTCTCCAGACACTCCTAGACAAGAAGAGGCACAGAAAGAGTACCAGGCGTGGGGTGGCAGGGCCCTCCCGACTCGAGTCCCAGCCTGCTGTGGCTGTCTAGGACAGCAGCCCAGGCCTGCTCTGGCCTGGAACCTGCATACCCCAGGCCAGCCCTCCTCTTCCACAGCATCACCTCATCCCAGACCCCCTCCCACCCAGATGCAGACCCTCCACATACCGCCATCATGGGCTCTGGTGGACCCAGGTGGGCCAGGTCACAAATGCCGACAATGAAGGCGCGGCTAGCGGTAAGGTAATGGCGCCCACTTTCCAGGAGACCGGTGCCCAGCTTCAAGAGCTGGGAAAGGAGGAGGGTAACAGGGAGCTGTGCCACCGGCCCCACACCAGGTGATGCCCCCACCCCTGCCCCACTTCCTTTCCCCTTGCCCAGAGCGGTGCTTTCCATTCCTGTCTGGCCTCACTCCCCTCCAGGCTCTCCCTGTATCTAACATACACCTGGTATGTTCTCATTGCTGCTTCTTTATTCCCACCACCTTGGGCCTGAAACCAAATTCCTGCCCATTCCTCTCAGCCTGTCACCAATACCTCTGTCAGCCTTACCTCCAAAACATCTTTCCCTGCCCACACATCTCTTCCTACCCTGCCTACCTGCTTAGATCCAGAGCTCCCTGGAGAGTCCAACCTCCTGCACTGTCTGGATGCTCTACATGGTTGCTATTAAATTCTAGAGGATTGGCCAGTGCGGTGGCTTATGCCTGTAATCACAGCCATTTGGGAGGCTGAGGTGGGCCAATCACTTGAGTTCAGGAGTTCGAGACCAGCCTGGGCAACATGGTGAAACCCATCTCTACTAAAAATACAAAAATTAGCCAGGTGTGGTCGTGCATGCCTGTAGTCCCAGCTACTCAGGTGACTAAGGCAGGAGAACTGCTTGAACCTGGGAGGTTGAGACTGCAGTGAGCTGAGATGGTGCCATGTGACTGTAATCCCAGTTATTTGGGGGGGGCTAAGGCAGGAGAACTGCCTGAACCCAGGAGGTCGAGGCTGCAGTGATCCAAGATGTCGCCACTGCACTTCAGCCTGGGTGACAGTGTGAGACTCTGTCTTGAAAAAACAAAACAAAAAAACTATATATTTTTTTTTTTTGAAAGGGAGTCTCGCACCGTCACCCGGGCTGGAGTGCAGTAGCGCGATCTCAGCGGCTCACTGCAACCTCCGCCTCCCAGGTTCAAGTGATTCTCCTGCCTCAGCCTCCCAAGTAGCTGGGATTACAGGTGCTTGCCACCATGCCTGGCTAAATTTTTTTTGTATTTTTAGTAGAGATGGGGTTTCACCATGTTGGCCAGACTGGTCTGAAACCCCTGACCTCGCGATCCACCTGCCTCAGCCTCCCAAAGTGCTGGGATTACATATAGGCGTGAGCCACTGTGCCTGGCCCAAAATCTATATTATTTGTGGCTAGGAGTTGTCCCATTCTGTACTCACTGCACATTCCCTCATAAATATTAATTCATCATCCAGGCCACAGGTCAGGGCCAAGAGGAGATGTTGGGGTACTCCTGAGGCCCATCCTATCTGGCCCATTTGATTGACAAAGAGACTTGATAGGCCAGGCGCAGTGGCTCACACCTGTAATCCCAACACTTTGGGAGGCCAAGGTGGGTGGATCACCTGAGGTCAGGAGTTGGACACCAGCCTGACCAACATAGTGAAACCCCATCTCTACTAAAAATACAAAATTAGGCCAGGCACAGTGGCTCATGCCTTTCATCCCAGAACTTTGCGAGGCCGAGGCAGGTGGATCACCTGAGGTTGGGAGTTCGAGACCAGCCTGACCAACATGGAAAAGCCCTGTCTCTACTAAAAATACAAAAGTAGCCAGGCGTGGTGGCACATGCCTGTTATCCCAGCTATTCAGGAGGCTGAGGCAGGAGAATTGCTTGAACCCAGGAGGAAAGATTGCAGTGAGCTGAGATTGTGCCATTGCACTTCACCCTGAGGAACAAGAGCGAAACTCTGTCTCAAAAAAAAAAAAAAACAAAAAAGAGGGTGGGCACGGTGGGTCATGCCTGTTATCCCAGCACTTTGGCAGGCCAAGGCGGGAGAATCGCTTGAACCCCGGAGACGAAGGTTGCAGTGAGCCGAGCTCACACCAGGGCGCTCCAATCAATCTGGGCAACAGGCATGAAACTCTGTCTCAAAAAAAAAAAAGAGACTTGGTAAACCTGGAGGGAATGGCTGCCTGAGGAGGGTCTCTCTGGGTGATCAGAACCCAGAGTCAGTCTCCTGAGCCCTGGACCTTGTTACCTGCAGAGTTGCAACTACACTGCCTCTGAGGTGATGCCCCTTGGCTCTGGCCTGAGTCACCATATCTGGGATGGAGCAAGTAAGTGTCCATGGAGCCCTCAGCTCAGCCCAGGATGGCAGGAGACCACCAGGGAGCTCATGTGTGGAAGTCCAGAGCAGCAGGGGCTCAGAAAGCTTGGGCTGTATAGAGGCGTTCAGTTTTGTTGGTCAGCACTTCTGTTGAACTGAAAACCATTTTCTGGGGCTTGTGGAGGCTTCAGGGAAATATAGCTTGACTTGAGAGTGTATGGCAGGTTCAGTAATGCTCAGGAAACTGACCAAGATCAAATCTTATCAGACATCACCATGGGTTGTTTGTGACAAGGGACAAGGTTGTTCACAAATCACTGTGTGAATCTAGGAACTGAGTGTCTAGTTCTTTCCTTAACTGTCTCAGCCCCTGCCCCTTAGATGAGTAAGGAACTTATTCATAAGACTGGACTAGTGACAAACTGGGACATCTGTACAATAGAATAGTACTCAGCAATAAAAAGGAATGAACTGTTGATATGTGCAATGATTTGGATAAACTTCAAAAGCATTAATCTTTTTAAAAATTGATTATTATTTTTAGAGTTGAGGTTTCTATCACCCAGGCTAGAGTACAGTGGTAGAATCATAGCTCAACTGCAGCCTTGAACTCCTGGGTTCAAGGGATCCTCCAGCCTTTGCTTCCTGAGTAGCTGAGACTACAGGCACACACTACCATGCCTGGCTAATTTTTAAAAAATCAGAGACAGGGATCTTGCTATGTTGCCCAGGCTGGTCTTGAGCTTCTGGCCCCAAGCAACCGTCCTGCCTTGACCTCCTGAGTAGTTGGGATGACACTCATGAGCCACCACACCCAGCAGGAGCATTATTCTGAGTGTGAGTGTGTGTGTGTGTGTGTGTGTGTGTGTGTGTGTGTGTGTGTGGTGTCGGGGGGGGGAGCCAAAAAGCCAAATCTCAAAGGGTCACATACTGTATGATTTTATTGATACAACATTCTGGAAATGATAAAAGTAGAGAGATGGAGAACAAATCAGTGGTTGCCACGAATGAGAGAAGAGTGTGGGAAGGGTTAGGGTATCACTGTAAAGGAATTCCTCGTGTCCATTTATATGTTGAATGTAGTGATGGTTAAAGGAATCCATACATGTGATAAAGTACCATAGAATTATATACAAAAAGGCCAAGCGCAGTGGCTCACACCTGTAATCCCAGCACTTTAGGAAGCCAAGGCAGGTGGATCTCGAAGTCAAGAGATGGAGACCATCCTGGCCAACATGGCAAAACCCTGTCTCTAAAAATGCAAAAATTAGCTGGATGTGGTGGCGAGTACCTGTAATCCCAGCTACTCGTGAGGCTGAGGTGGAGAATCGCTTGAACCTGGGAGAGGAAGGTTGCAGTGGGCCAAGATTGCACCACTGCCCTCCAGCCTGGGCAACAGAGTGAGACTCTGTTTCAAAACAAAAAAGAACACACACAAAAGAGTATATGCAAATTGTAAAATCGAAGTAGGGTCTATAGACTCCATTGTTAACTGTAATGTGACAATATTTTTTTTTTTTTTTTTTTTTGAGACGGAGTTTCACTCATGTTACCCAGGCTGGAGTGCAATGGCGCGATCTCGGCTCACCGCAACCTCCGCCTCCTGGGTTCAGGCAATTCTCCTGCCTCAGCCTCCTGAGTAGCTGGGATTACAGGCACGCGCCACCATGCCCAGCTAATGTTTTGTATTTTTAGTAGAGACGGGGTTTCACTATGTTGACCAGGATGGTCTTGATCTCTTGACCTCGTGATCCACCCGCCTCGGCCTCCCAAAGTGCTGGGATTACAGGCTTGAGCCACCGCGCCCGGCCTAATGTGACAATATTAATTTCCTGGTTTTAATAATGTGCTAGTGTTGTATAAGATGTCACCACTGGGGGAGGCTGGGTGATGGGTACATGAGACATCTCCTTACTAGTCTCCTGAGTCAATAATGTACTCAAAATAAAAAGTTGAGGCCATGTGTGATGGCTCACGCCTGTAATTCCAGCACTTTGGGAGGCTGAGGTAGGAGGATCACTTGAGCACAGGAGTTCAAGCATCTGGGACCACAGGTGTGGCCACCACATCTAGTCAATTGTTTAAAATTATTATTTGTAGGCCAGATGCAGTGGCTCACACCTGTAATCCCAGCACTTTGGGAGTCTGAAGCAGGTGGATCATTTGAAGTCAGGAGTTCAAGGCCAGCTTAGCCAACATGGTGAGACCCCCCATCTCTACTAAAAATAAAAAATAAAATTAGACAGGTATCCCAGCTACTTGGGAGGCTGAGGGAGAAGAATCACTTCAACCCTGGAGGCAGAGGTTCTAGTAAGCCGAGATCTTGCCACTGCACTCCAGCCTGGGTGACAGAGCAAGACTCTGTCTCAAATAAATAAATAAATAGGCCAGGCGTGGTGGCTTACACCCGTAATCCAAGTACTTTGGAGGCCAAGGCGGGCGGATCACCTGAGGTCAGGAGTTCAAGACCAGCCTGACGAACATGGTGAAACCCCGTCTTTTTTTTTTTTTTTTTTGAGACGGAGTTTCGCTCTTGTTACCCAGGCTGGAGTGCAATGGCGCGATCTCGGCTCACCGCAACCTCCGCCTCCTGGGTTCAGGCAATTCTCCTGCCTCAGCCTCCTGAGTAGCTGGGATTACAGGCACGCGCCACCATGCCCAGCAAATTTTGTATTTTTAGTAGAGACGGGGTTTCACCATGTTGACCAGGATGGTCTCGATCTCTTGACCTCGTGATCCACCCGTCTCAGCCTCCCAAAGTGCTGGGATTACAGGCGTGAGCCACCGCGCCCGGCCAGAAACTCCATCTTATAAGAAAAAAAAAAAAAAAAAGGAAAAAGAAAAAAAAATAATAAATAATATTATTTGTAGAGACAAAATCTCACCATGTTGCCCATAAAAATAATGTTGCCCACTAAATTTGTGACAATTTGTTACCCAGCAATAAAGAACTAATATATAGCATGCAAATACGTAATGTGTCAGAGGTAAATGTTGCAGAGAAAAGTAAAAAGTAAGGGGAATGAGAGAGGGTGAATTTGTGAACACATGCTGTATGATAAGAGTGTTCAAGGGAGACCTACTGTTTTGAACTGAAATGTTTTGCTGGTTTGTATTCCAGTCAGCCTTTGGGCTCCATGGGAGCAGAAATGATCTTGCCCTCCCTAAATGCCCAAGGCCTGGCACAACGCAGGAGGAGCCCAAGAGCTGAACAAGGAAGTCCAAAAGTAAGTCTTTTTTTTTGAGACGGAGTCTCGCTCTGTTACTCATGATGCAGGGCAGTGGCAGGATCTCGGCTCACTGCAACCTCCACTTCCTGGGTTCAAGTGACTGTCCTGCCTCAGCCTCTGGAGTGGCTGGGACTACAGACACTCGCCACCACACCCCACTGATTTTTGCATTTTTAGTAGAGATGGGATTACCCTTTGTTGGGCAGGTTGGTCTCGAACTCCTGACCTCAGGTGATCCATCTGCCTTGGCCTCCAAAAGTGCTGGGATTACAGGCATGAGCCACCACGCCCAGCCCAAAAGTAAGTCTTGTTTTCCAAGATCTTGAGCTTCTTGAGGGTATAGAATCACCTTTTTTGCTTCTCTGAAGTTTCCAAAATATCTGCCCTCCACAGCATTCAATAATCCCTGGAACGTATGCTCGTCTCCAGCTTTTTCCCTGGCCCCACCCCTCTCAACCTAATTTGCTCCCGGGTCACCTCTCCATGTCAGGGTCACCTTTTCCAGACGGGTCTCCAGTTCTGACACTTCAGCTTCCACCAGCTCAATAGAGGCTCTGGGAAAGAGGGGGGTCATGGGAACAGAGCCTGGGTCCATCTGGTCTGTCTGCCTCTTCACGGGAGATGGAGTCGTAGGGTGGTGGGTGCGGAGGGGAAAGCTGCAGAGCTGAGAGGCTCATCCTCCCGCCCACTTCTGCTCTGCCTAGAAGCTACCACCGCCCAGGCCAGAGCAGGAAGGGTAGAAGGAGGGTGGATGTGGCCAGGGCAGGAAGTTGCTAACCGCCCCAGAGCAGGTGCTGGGGGAGGGGCAGGGGTCCCAGTGAGAGGCAGGAGGGCATGCCAGCTCTCAGGGTGAGGGAGACTGCAGAGGCCAGGAGCAGCATGCAGGGGTGGAGAGCATTGGAGCACCCTGCTTTGATAGCTGGGGTACCACTTTGGCCCACAAGCTCGCTCCTGCCTTTTTGAGGCCTGCTCCCTGAAAGGAGGTCTGGCCTGGGGAAAGGTGTGTGTGTGCTGGGGGTGTTAGACCTTCCCCTCCTTGGCCCCCTAGACCAGGTCACACTTACCGGAAACGCGGGGAGTCCTTGAGACACTCCTCAAAATCCAGCTTGACCGTCATCGCTTGCCTGCTATGGGGCCAGGAGGCCCTGGAGGCTGGGCAAGTGAGGATGCAGGTGGAGGCACTTTCTGTCCCACGAGGGGAGATGATGAGGAAGGAGGAGAGGGTCCTCTGCGGGGAAGGCCCTGGGGGGCACAATTGCTTCCCCAAGGGGAAAGGGGAGTCCTAGGAGGAGCTCTCACCCCACACTTCCAGGCAGTGCTGGGAGGGGCAGGGGCGGGGCCTGGGCGGAGGAGGGGGCCTGAGATCAGAGAAGCCACAGTCCCGCCCTCAGACGATCTGCCAGCTCCTTCCTCCTGGGGGCCCTAACCTGTTTCTCCCTTCGTAGTTGAGTCTTGGGGGCCTGGCAGATCTAGGTTCAAATCCTGACTCTGTCACTTAGAAGTTATGTGCCCCTGGAGGAGCTCTCCGATTCCTCAGTTTTCTCACCTGGAAGATGGGAATGATACTCCCTTCCTCCAGTGCTGCACGAAGTGAAGAAAACGATAGCAGTAAATTCATGGTTCACTAAATTAACTGCATCCATCATTGTCATCCTGCTGCAGCTTGGGCCTTCTCGTGATTCTAGGCTCCTGTGGAGGAGGAGGTCCAGGACCCTGGACCGCTGCCAGCTTTCTTCACTCTGCCCTCGGATTCATCTTTCCTGTGTGTGAACTCCCCTTCCCCCTCCCCTCTCCTCAACAGTGAGCAGGCCCAGCCTGGGCACCCAATTCACAGTCCCAGACTCCTGTTCTTCTGCTTTTTATTGTCCACTTGTAGGGTGGTCAGGAAGGGAAGGGTGCCCCCACTCCCCCCAGCCGGCCTCGCTTTCCATTGTTTTGTTTCCTCTTCCTGAGTCCATCGAAGTCCTAGGGTTTCATCTGGAGAGAAGAGTTTAAGTTCATGGCTTTCTCATACCAGGCATGAGATCTTGTCCATGTGACCGTGGGTCCCCTAGAACCCCCCCACTCAGCTCCTCTACCGCCCTGGCAATGCAAACATCCACTTGCCTCTGCCCAGGCTAAGTCTGCCAGGCTGTGGGGGTTCTGGCTTGGGGGGGTTGGGGTTGCTTCCACTCTCCCTCTCTGAACTCCCTGAGCTCTGCCAGCTCAGCTCCTTGGCCACCAGCCACAGACACCAGCGGGATACCACTTGAGACTCACTGTCTTTGAAGGACAGAGAAATACCTGGAGTGGGGTGGCATGGCAGAGAGGAATCAAGGAGGAGGCATGGAGCCAGCGGGTGGTGCCAAGCTGGAGGGGGTCCCAGCCCCTTCTGAGTCTCCCTGGTTCCTCTCCTGTCCGATGTGGGCCTTGGACTCCATGCTGTTCAGGGCCTTTGCTACCACCTGTTGCTGATGTACTGGTCTGAAAAAATTAAGAGGGCCGGGAAATGGAAGCTTGCCAAGAGACAGGCCCAGGGAGATGGTGGCCTGGTGCCCTCAACAGGCTGCAGTGGTGTCACTGTCACCATCAGGGAGCTCTCCGGGGCCTTGTGATCCCTAAAGGGGCCTCCTATGTGGTCCAGCAGGTGGACCTCAGTGTTTCTGGGGTTCTCAATCAATCACCCAGGTCCAGTGTGCGGAGCCTAGAATCAGGGATCAGGGGTAGGGTACCCATCAGGCTATTGGTTCCCAGCCGTCCTGCCCCCTAGGCTGTCCTGCCCAGGCTCTCACCATCCTGATGCTCATCTTCCACATCCTCCATAAGCTCTGGATGGGAGCAGGACCTCAGGTATAGTCCTTTGCCATAATACTCCTTTCGATGCAGAGCAATCTCCTGCCCCAGTATGATGGTGGCCAGAGCTGGGGGGGACTGACTTCTGTAGGTGGAGGAATCTGAGGAATCAGCCAAATGAATCTAAGTCTTCTGGCCACCTGGTGTATCCAGGCCTCCCAGGTGTCTGTCACGGCCCCTCACCAGAGGGGAGAAGCTCAGGTCCCAGGTCTTCATCTCACTGACTTTTCTTACCCTTCCCATTTGAGAAGAACTTTAGTGAACCTCTCCACTGCCCCTCATGGTGGTTTCGGACTTTTATTTATTTATTCTATTTATTTATTTAGATGGAGTTTTGTTCTTGTTTCCCAGGCTGGAGTGCAGTGGCCCAATCTCGGCTCACCACAACCTCCGCCTTCCAGGTTCAAGTGATTCTCCAGCCTCAGCCTCCTGAGTTGCTGGGATCACAGGGGTGTACCACTACGCCTGGCTATATTTTTTATTTTTTTTAATTTTATTTTTGAGACGGGATCTCGCTGTGTCACCCAGGCTGGAATGTGGTAGCGCCATCATCACTCACTGCAGCCTCAAACTCCTGGGCTTAAGCTATCATCCCACCTCGGCCGCCCAAGGTGCTGGGATTATAGGAGTGACCCACTGGACCTGGCCAACAAATCAGCCCCCAATCAGACTTTCTATTTCTCAACAGCCCACAATCTCTGGGGGCTATCCTGAGTGGGGTCCTTCCTCCAGCTGCCCTCTTTCTTTCCTGGGGTCACCTCCCAGCATTACCTCCCTGTCAGACAGCAGGGTCTTGGGCTGATGCACTGAGGAAGACAGACTGTGGCAGAGAAGTGAGGAGCAGGCTCTGGACTACAATACCCCAGTCCCTGGAGCCCCACCATCGCTAACCCTGGGCTTTAAGGATGTGCCTCTGGGTGGCGAGGCCTGGCTCGTCTTTGGCTCCTCTGGCTAGTTCTCCTGCCCAGCCTCTCTGCACAGGCTTGGGCTCTGGGTCCAGCATCACATCTTGACTGCCACCGCTGATACTGATACTACCACCACTGCCATCCTCTTCATCCTCCAAGGGCCGGTTTTTCCAAGCCTTGAGAAACTTCCCTTCGGCATAGTGTGCTTTGCGGCGCTTTTCAAAGTCGGTGGAGTCTGTGACCATAGTAAGAGCTTGGCTTTCCCATCTCACTCTCGCTGAAGGCGCACTCCACCTCCCCCTTTCCATTCAATCTCCAACCCTCATCTCACATGTCTTGGAAAAGCTGTCTGCAGGCCCTGAGCTCCTGTCAGCATGGTTCTGGAGGACCTTGGGGTAGATATTGTCCATCATGGCAATCCTGAAGGGGAGGGAGACTATTTGGGGGCATCGAGAGAAGAAAATAGCAATGGGGACAGGTGGTAAACAGGGCCAAGTTGGCAGACCCCACCTCCACCCAGGCCTGATGGAAATTGTGGTATCTCCCACTGTGGGTGTCAGAAAGCAGACCTGAGTTCAAGGCTGAAGGGAGGAAGAGGCCCCAGTCCCCAGCTGATCTCTGGCAGGACTCTCACCTCTCTGCTAGCACCTCGGGATTCACTGAGCGGGAGGAACTGGCAGAGAGGTCCTCAAAACTGTCCTGCAGCCTGCAGAGGAGGGGGAAGCAGTGCCGGGAGGTGGGGGTCAGGCAGTGTCCAGTCCCCGAGGCTCTCTCTGCTTCCTCCACCTGTCCCCTCCATGGAACAGAGAAGAATCTCTGGACTGAAGGGCTGGGGAGGGCTCACCACCTGTGGTAGGGAGTGTTGGGCTCATCCACCATCATAAATCCATAGTCCTTGTCAGCAGGGTGGTAGGTGGCCAGGATATTCATCTCATCCCAGTGCTGAGACTTCTTTCTGAGGCTGAGGGAGGTGACCTTTTAGTGACCCCCTCCTCATAGGCGTCCCTCATTTTTCCAGTCATTCAAAACAGTTTTTGTTGTTGTCGTTTGTTTTTTGAGATGGAGTCTTGCTCTGTCACCCAGGCTGAGTGCAATGGTGCAGTCTCAGCTCATTGCAACCTCTGCTTCCCAGGTTCAAGCCATTCTCCCACCTCAGCCTCACATGTAGCTGCGATTACAGGTGCTTGCCACCACACCTGGCTAATTTTTGTAATTTTAGTAGAGACGGGGTTTCACCATGTTGGCCAGGCTGGTCGCGAACTCCTGACCTCAGGTGATCTGCCCACCCCGGCCTCCCAAAGTGCTGGGATTACAGGCGTGAGTCACCGCGCCCGGTAAAAGAGTTTTCTTATACCCCTTTGTTGAGGCTGGGAATGGGAGCAGACTTAATGATAATCATAGTACTGTGCAGCCAGGATTTACGGGACACCTGCTCTTCTGAAAGCCTAGAACCTCGGATTTCCCACTCAATTGCTCTCACCTACTCTAATCGTTCTTAAGGCTCTGCCCCTTTCCTTTTGGCTCCGCCCCTCCAGTGTCCTGAACCCACCAGACCCTGGGCTGCCTGACCGCAGAGCTGAACTCCTTACTTCTCCACATTAGGGGATTTCTGCATCAAGTTGGAACTGTTCTTTCGTAGGATGCTCCGGGGCCGGTCCACTTGGGAGTTTTGGGGGTTCAAGCAAGTTGACTCAGAGTGCGGACTGCACCCAGGGCTGTTTACCTCTTGCCCTGCAGGCGCCCCAGATACACTGGTCCTAGGCCCGAGGGTGTTGAATCCACTAGGGTTCTTGCCAGACCCAAGGCTGTGGCTGGCAGCCTCCCCTGAGTGCTGACTGGGCCCGGAACCAAGGACCACTATCCCCTTGGAGGGCCAGCTTGCACCAGTACTGCGAGTTACACTGCCCCCTGAGAGCACGAGGGGCCTAGAACCGTGAAACAAGACTACTCCAGAGGGCTGCCCAGCGCCTGCCTCGACTCCTCTCACCACTCGGGGCACTCCTCCAGCTGCCCCTCCATGGGAGTCCCGGCTGAGGCCGCCAGCAGCCCCTAGGGACTCCACCTTCTCCGACGCCCCACCCGGGGGACGCTCTCAGCGATCCCGCCCCGCCTCCTGGCTCCACTAGCCCCGCCCCTAGCCCCGCCCCCACCACGGGCCGGCCAGGGGTGCTCCGGCTGAGTCCCGGGTCCCCTTCTCCCCTGCTCCCGAGCCACGGTGGGCGGAATCAAGACTCGGGCTGGAAGTCCCTCCACTCGCCCCTTTCCTTTGTGTTCCACCTAAAGACTTTCTTTCTTTGCGCGATTTGTTCCAGCCCTTCTCCATCACCACCCTCATCCAAATCAGCCAATCCCAGTCAGGGGGCCAGGCCAGGGGGCGAGAAGCTCGATTGTGACGTCACGGTCCTCCAGCCTGAGTGTGAGCGTCGAGTTGGGCTGAGGGCTAAATGGCCCTAAGGGAGATCTTTTGGGGTCCTCAGCGCCGTTGCTCGAAACTGCCTATCAGGATTCCTTAGACTCTTTATTTTTGGCCTTAACATAGACTAGTTTGGTTGAGTTGGAGTTGAGGCTGAGCTTGACTTGAAATACCAGCGAGCTTCCCCCAGCCCTGCCGGTCGTCTCGCTCGGTCTCTCCAGAGAGTTGTGAGGCAAAGTGGAGGGATTGCGGCACTGTCGCAAGACACTTCGGTCTAAGTGGCCTTGCTGGCATAGACTTTCACTACCACTTCCCTGGGTCCTCCAGACTCGGCTCACACTGTTTCGGAGCGTGCAGCCTGAAGGGAGTCACGCCCTCCTCTTGCCGTAAAGTGAGTGCTTCAAGGTGTCACCTCCCCCAAGCGGGGGCGGAGTCATCGGTACCGCTGTCGCAAAGCAGAAAGTGTTTAGACTCCAGCACCCCACCGTCGTAAAGATGCCTGCGGTGGGCGTGTCTTCCTTCCACTGTCGCAAAAGCTCCCTTCCCAAGTCTTCGTCCCTCTCGGAGCCACTCCGTCACCCCGCTATGCCGTAAAGTGAGCCTCCCGACCGCGTCGTCCTTCGGTTCTCACCGTGGTCGTCCCCAGCTCCTAGCCCGGGCTGCTTCATTGCCCAGCAGTGCCGTAAAGCATATCTGGCCTCAGCCCCCGGTCGTATTCCTCAGGGTGTCTGCCCGCCGCGGTTGCCACGGTGCCGCCAAGCGCGGCTGTCGCGCTGCCCCGGTGTCAGCGGAGATGGCGGCGGGGTCGGGTGGGAGTGGGGGCTCTGGGGTAGGCCCCGGACCGGTGCCGGGCGGGGGTGGGGGTGGGGGCCCCAGCGGAAGCAGCTCAGGACCGGGGTCCAGCGGGGTTCTCGGTAGCGGCGGGGAGCTGCACCCGCGCACTGGGCGCTTGGTGAGCCTGTCGGCCTGTGGGCGTACAGCGCGGCGGCAGCAGCCGGGCCAGGAGTTTAACCACGGGCTGGTGTTGAGCCGGGAACCCTTGCGCGATGGACGCGTCTTCACCGTCCGCATCGACCGCAAGGTGCAGCGCTGGGTTCGCGGAACCAAGATGTGGAGGGCGGTGGGAGGGGACTAGAGGGAGACGGGGTAGGACAGCCTGGGTAGCTCACATCGCCGGGCACCGAGGGAACAGAAAGGTGATAGAGCACCAGGGGACGGGCAGGAAGACAGCATGAATCAGAAACATTCAGTTTGAAGGAGAAGACATTAAGAGCTTGAGTTTTCTCAAGATTCAGAAGCAAAGAAGGGACACGAGGGCTAACTCGCTAGACTGGCTGGGACCAGACCTCCTGGTACAATTTCTTGGGCGTGGAGGATGGAGAGATGTCAGAGATGTGATGGCAAGAGAAGAGAGATACCAAGGAACAAACAAACCTAATCCCAGCCCTTTGGGAGTCCGAGGTGGGCAGATCACTTGAGGTCAGGGATTCAAGACCAGCCTAGTGAATGTGATGAAACAACCCTGTCTCTACTAAAAATACAAAAATTAGCCATGCGTGGTGGCGCGCCCCTGTAATCCCAGCTACTCTGGAGTCTGAGGCGGGAGAATGGTTTGAACCTGGGAGGCGGAGGTGGCAGTGAGCCGAGATCGTGCCACTGCACTCCAGCCTAGGCAACAGAATGCGTGAGACTCTGTCTCAAAACAAAACAAAAAAAACAAAAAAAACAAACCATTGAAGGACAAACTCACAGGCTGTGCCAGAAAGAGGTGAGGAGAACTATCCAGGGTGAGGGAGGTGTGCGTGATTCACTGAAGAGGCTACACTCACAGAAAAAGAAATTGGGAGAAGATTGAATCTGGGTAGAGCCTGATCCTTGGAGAGAATTAGGCCAAGGGAAGGGAATGATACACAAGAGCAAGAGGTGTGGGTATAGGAAGTCGGTGAATTTGGATGGTTGGAGAGCCATAGAGACCAGGAAAGTCAGAGGAGACAGGAGGCTAGAGAACTAAGGAACTCTTGCTTGGCTTGGAAAGGAGTGGTGCAGTAAAGACTGAGTAGAAAGCAGAATTGCTAAAGGAAAGAAAGCCCAAACAATTACCGAGCCAGAGTCCAGAAAATTACTATGTGCATATCTGGATTAGTGTTCCAAGAGAAAGCCAGTTAGCTACCTGAGAGGTGGGAAGATATGGTGGTCTGCGGAATAGGGGGTGGCCCATTTTAAGCCTCTGTCCACTACCCCTATCCCAGGTCAACTCCTGGAGTGGCTCCATTGAGATTGGGGTGACAGCGTTGGATCCCAGTGTGCTGGACTTTCCAAGCAGTGCCACAGGGCTGAAGGGGGGCTCGTGGGTAGTGTCAGGCTGCTCTGTGCTGAGAGATGGACGCTCTGTGTTGGAGGAGTATGGTCAGGACCTGGACCAGCTTGGCGAAGGGGACCGTGTGGGTGTGGAGCGCACAGCTGCTGGGGAGCTGCGGCTCTGGGTGAATGGGCGGGATTGTGGAGTGGCTGCCACAGGCCTGCCCCCTCGTGTCTGGGCCGTCGTGGACCTTTATGGCAAGTGCACCCAGATCACTGTGCTACCCCCTGAGCCAGGCTTCAGCCCCGCTACTCCCATCCCCACACCTCCCCTCGAGTCCTTGGCCCCCCCTGAAGACTCTGCCTTGGCTGAACAGGGGACCTCTGCTGATGAAGGTGAGAACACAGCTAGGGCAGTGGTGGTGGGGTGGGGATGGAATGGGGGAAATAACAGTGACAAGACAGGCTGGGTGTGGCAGGGCCACTCTGATCCCCAAGTCTGTTGAATGGGAGAGCGGGAGCTACAGGATGGGGTATCTCCTGGCTGTGGGCTCTGAATTAGGGACTGAACCCTTATTCCCCTCCCATCCTACCTGGTCCCCAGCCTTCATGGTGTCCCCAGCGCAGGCCCGGCCGGAGACGTTTCCTAACAGCCTTGAGTCGCATAATGGTGAGGGCTTTGGGGAGGCCCTGGGAAGGGGAGTGGGAAGTGAGGTGGACAAGGGAGGGCCCTCAGGAGAAGGGGTACAGACAGAGGCACCAAGCCTGGGGGCATAGAGCCTCCTTCTTCCTTCTGCTTCTCCCAGCTTCCTTCTTCCATCCTGCTGCTATAGACTTTGCCAGCATGGAGCTGTCCGAGGTGGTGAGCAACACCATCCTGTCTGCCTACAATGGAGGGCTCCTGAATGTGAACCTGAGCTCCCCACCGGCAGGGGAAGGCCTGGGATCTAGTGGTGCTGCCACCTCGCCCATCCTCACTTCCAACGATGCCCTGCTTTTTCATGAAAAGTGTGGGACCCTCATCAAACTCAGCAACAATAATAAGACAGCTGAGCGCCGGCGGCCCCTGGATGAATTCAACAATGGGGTTGTCATGACCAACCGCCCACTTCGGGACAATGAGATGTTTGAGGTGTGAAAGTCCTGTGGTCTGGTTGGCGCCTTATCCCTGGGAGCTAAAGATGGAGCTTCGCCCTTGATGCTAGGAGGGTGGGCCCTGGGGAAGGACCAAGGGCTGAAGGTCCTTTTATGCATTTATATTCTCTGCTTTTCCCTTCTTTCCCTCAATGCCAGATCCGTATCGACAAGCTTGTTGATAAGTGGTCAGGCTCCATTGAGATTGGTGTCACCACCCACAACCCCAACAGTTTGGAGTACCCAGCCACCATGACCAACCTCCAGTCAGGTACCAGCCCTGGGCAGGGGTGGGGGTGCAGGCCTGGTGTTGCTGAGGGGAAGGAAGCCCATACCTCAACCCGAGTGTCCATCATCACCCAGGCACCATCATGATGAGCGGCTGTGGAATTCTAACGAATGGCAAGGGTACCCGCCGGGAGTACTGCGAATTCAGTCTGGATGAGTTGCAGGTGAGGGTGGGCACAGAGCCTCGGGTCACTCTCCAGCAGAGCCACAGGTACTCTGTCCCTGCCTGGGCACCAAGCAGGGTCTCTCCTCTGCAACCTAGAGCACGTCCCTATATTTTCTGCCTAAAGGTTCCTTCCGAGAAGGCTGAGTTGCCCAAGAATTCAGCACTCAGATTTTGGAGTCAGATGGTTGAATTCCTCTTACTGTTTGCCCATTTGTAGTGGCGAACTGAGGCAAGAAGCTTACCCTCTTTGGTTGTTCCTCCATTTGCTGCAGTCTTTAAAATGAGCCTCCGAGTAGGCTGATTCCATAGGCTGAGACTTGTCAAAGCTGACGTCTGTGAGGTGGTTTAACTCAGTGCCTGACTCATGTTGAGCACTGAGGAAACGTAGAAATTGTCATATCTGGAAAACGAGGGCCCAGGACCTGTCCTTGAGGGTGATCTGAGACTGGCGAGTACTTTCTGGAGTTGTTCCCGTGTGGAGTGGGGTGCTGGGCAGGCCCCGGGACTCCTCTGAACTATTTTTCTTCTTTGAGTAGGAGGGTGACCACATTGGTCTCACAAGGAAGTCCAACTCGGCCCTGCACTTCTTCATCAATGGCATTGATCAGGGTAAGGGCCACTCAGAGAGGGCCTCTGGGCTAGGGCATTCGGTGGGCCTGGGATTGGGGTCCGTACCTCATTCTCCTGCTTCTCTTTGGTGCTTGGTTTCCCTGTGTGTGACTTTCTCCTCTCATTCTGCCTGCCCACTCCCACATCCCTGTACCTTCCTGCCACAGGAGTGGCGACCCCCTTGACGCCCCCAGTGGTATATGGTGTGGTGGACTTGTATGGGATGGCAGTGAAGGTGACCATCGTCCACAATAACAACCACAGTGACCGTCTCCGCCGAAACAACGCCATCCTACGGGCACTGTCCCCCGAGGGCGCTCTCCGACGAGCTGCTCCTGCCCAGGCAGAACCCGAGCGCCTGCTCTTCCACCCCAACTGTGGCCAGAAGGCAGCCATCACCCACGAGGGACGCACTGCCCTGAGGCCCCAGTATGGCCCATGGAGTGGGGAGAAGCCTGAAGAAGGGGTTTGAATGGGAGAGGGGTGGGACAAGGAAGTGGAAGGCAGAGGGAGCCTGGTGGGGGAGCTTCCTGGAGGTTGAGGTTTAGCTCTTTGGCTTGGGGCAGTGAGTGTTGGCAGGCATTGCCGGGTGAAGCCTTGGCACACTGAGAGCATGTACTGGGGACCTGACTCTCCACTCATTGTGCCCTTAAGTGCCACCGATGACTTCAATCATGGCGTGGTGCTGAGCAGCCGAGCCCTGCGGGATGGAGAGGTGTTCCAGGTGCGCATCGACAAGATGGTGGACAAATGGGCTGGCTCCATTGAAATTGGCGTCACCACCCACAACCCTGCCTACCTCCAGTTGCCCTCTACCATGACCAACTTGCGCTCTGGTGAGTTCCCAGGAAGGGCAGGACCAGGATAGGGTTTTGGGGGGAAGCTGTCCCCAGAGCCCTGGCACTCGTTCTCCAGCCTCTTTTTCACTTGTCACTCTTGTGACCACTCATTCAATGGCTAGAGAGTGCCCCGTGGGCACGGAGCTGCAGAGTTTTCTTGTCCTGCTAGGGAAGAAAGCCAGTTGTCCAAGAAAAGGCAAGGTGGGCTGTGGGCTCGGGAGTCCTGTGGGCGCTGCTATGGAAAGGAGAGGAGCCCTGCATGTCCCCTCATGTCCCCTACTGCTCCTTGTCCTCCCAGGGACCTGGATGATGACTGGGAATGGGGTGATGCACAATGGGACGACCATCCTGGATGAATACGGGCACAACCTGGACCGCCTCAAGGTGGGAAAGTGGGCATGCTGCCGGGCAGCCGCAGCAGGCTTCACAGGCACTGTGGGGCTGACACAGGACCAGCCCCGGCAGGAACTCTGCCTGACTCCTCACTCCAGCACCCCCTTCTTCCAAGGCAGGGGACACGGTGGGCGTGGTGCGGCGGGAGGACGGGACTCTCCACTTCTTTGTCAATGGGATGACTCAGGGCCCTGCTGCCTGGAACGTGCCCCCGGGCGTCTATGCTGTCGTCGATCTCTATGGCCAGGCGGCCCAGGCCACCATTGTGGACGACGTGGGTGAGGGCCGGGCTGGGCTGGGGCTTAGGGTGGCCTTGGGAGGTCTTAGAGACACCTAGAGACCTAAGAGTGATGTCCACTTTTACAGAGGTGCCTCCAGTTCCTGAGCCACTCCCTGAAGGGAACAACCAGGTGTCTCCAAGCTCCCCGTCCTCAGGGGCTGGGGGCTCTGACCTGCGCTTCCACCAGCTGCATGGCAGTAATGCAGTCATCACTAATGGGGGCCGCACTGCCCTCCGCCACAACTGCCGCAGCGAGTTTAATGACGCCATCGTCATCTCCAATCGGTCAGTCTCTTGACGTTTATGTCCCCACCTTCCTATTGCCTAGCCTCAGCCGCCCAAGCAGAGCCTCTCTGATCACCAGTCTCCCTGGCAGGGCCCTGCGGGATGGAGAGCTGTTTGAAATTGTCATTCAGAAGATGGTGGACCGCTGGTCAGGCTCCATTGAGGCTGGTAAGGGGCGTCTGTGTGTGTGTTGGGGGCTGCTGGATGCCTGTGCCTTGGGGGAGCAGCCTTGACCTACCCCTGCCTCTTCCCAGGAGTGACTGCCATTCGCCCTGAAGACTTGGAATTCCCCAACACTATGACAGACATTGACTATGACACATGGATGCTGAGGTCGGGCTTCCTGCTTTTGGGGCCAGCTTAGGGCTGGGTGGAGCTGGCTGGCATCAGGGAAGCAAGGTTTAGGCCTATGATGGCTGTGGGCAGTGGCAGACCTAGGGGATCTGCCTGTCCCCTCCCTTGGATTCTGGGAATCCCTACTTAGTCCCGCAGGGACTCAGACCTTCTTTCTCTTAGGTAGTTCTTGCTTTTTCCTGAGAGGATCCCAGGGACAAAGGAGATAGGATTGGGCCTTACGCCCAGATCAAGACCCCAGCCCAAGGCACTGGAAGGTTCTGACAGGCAGGGAGTGGGCAGGGGCCCATGTGAAGATGAAGCTGGCAGGCTGATTCACCCTTCTGCCGTTCCCCCCAGTGGCACAGCCATCATGCAAGATGGGAACACAATGCGCAACAATTATGGGTGTGACCTGGACGCGCTAGGCACAGGTGCGCGCATTGGCATGATGCGAACTGCCAAGGGTGACCTGCACTACTTTATCAACGGCCAGGACCAAGGCGCCGCATGCTCGGGCCTGCCTCCGGGTAAAGGTGACTGTGGCTTTCAGCCTGCCGCCCTCAGCCCAGACCACCCTGGCTGTCAGGCTTCTGACCTTCCCTCTCCTCCCCAGAGGTGTATGCGGTAGTCGATCTCTATGGCCAATGTGTCCAAGTTTCCATAACCAATGCCACCGGCCCCATGGACAACAGCCTGGCGACCAGCAACACTGCCACCGAGAAGTCCTTCCCACTACATTCCCCAGGTGTGCGGCAGGGTGGGGGCTGGATGGGCTCTGCTTGCCTGCTGTGCGCCTGAGGAGTAGGGCTTCCAGGTTAGAGAGGCTATTCAAAGACAGCTGGCTGGGGTAGCCACCGGCTCCAGGGAGGGGACAGCTCACGGTGGCAAGCATCCAGTGACAGGGAGGTTATACCTGGCACGTAGAGCCTGGACAGGACACCATAAGCTGAGCATGCCAGGTTTGGAAATGAGTCTTGCTATGATCAAAAGAGGTGTCAGGGCCTGGCACAGTAGCTGATGCCTATAATCCCGGCACTTTGGGAGGTCAAGGCGGGTGGATTGCTCCGGCACAAGAGTTTAAGACCAGGCTGGGAAACATGACAAAACCCCGTCTCTACTAAAAGTACAAAAATTAGGCAGGTGTGGTGGCATGTACCTGTGGTCCCAGTTACTTGGGAGGCTGAAGTGGGAGGATCACTGGAGTCCAGGAAGTCAAGGTTGCAGTGAGCCATGATTGTGCCACTGCACTCTAGCTGAGTGACAGAGCAAGACCCTGCCTCAAAAAAAATAGAATAAAAGCCGGGTGCGGTGACTCACGCCTGTAATCCCAGCACTTTGGGAGACCAAGGCAGGAGGATCACGAGGTCAAGAGATCGAGACCATCCTGGCCAATACAGTGAAACCCCGTCTCTACTAAAAATACAAAAAAATTAGCCAGGCGTGGTGGCACGTGCCTGTGGTCCCAGCTACTCGGGAGGCTGAGGCGGAAGAATCACTTGAACCCAGGAGGCGGAGATTGCAGTGAGCCAAGATTGCGCCACTGCACTCCAGCCTGGTGACAGAGCAAGATTCCGTCTCAAAAAAAAAAAACAAATAAATAGAATAAAGAGGTGCCAGGAGGCCCTGAGGAGCAATGGCAGATGCAGATAGGAACTTGGTGCCCACATCTTGTTTCATCTGGAAACGCTGCTCTGTGTTCCACCTGAAGCTTGCCACCTGATCCTACCCCTTCCTCTGGTACCGTGTTTTCGCAGTGGCTGGCGTGGCTCACCGATTCCACAGTACTTGCGGCAAGAACGTCACTCTAGAGGAGGATGGCACGAGGGCAGTACGTGCTGCTGGCTATGCTCATGGCCTTGTCTTCAGCACCAAGGAACTCAGGGCTGAGGAAGTCTTTGAGGTAGGCCGTAGCAATGTGACAGAGGGGCTGCCAGGCCTATCACAACGGGCCAGCTCATATTTTCCGTGTCTCGTAGGTGAAAGTGGAAGAGCTGGATGAGAAGTGGGCAGGTTCCCTGCGGCTGGGGCTGACCACACTAGCACCAGGGGAGATGGGACCCGGAGCAGGCGGTGGCCCAGGGTTGCCTCCGTCCCTACCAGAGCTCCGGACGAAGACCACTTGGATGGTATCTAGCTGTGAAGTGAGACGTGATGGGCAGCTCCAGAGGATGAACTATGGCCGGAACCTAGAGAGGCTGGGGGTGAAGCAGCTGGCTCCAGGGACAGGGGAGGGGTTGGGAGTGGAGGTGGCAGGGAGAGGTGGGCTGAGCATCGTCTATTCTCATCTTGGCTTGGTCCTAGGTGGGGAGCCGTGTGGGTGTTCGTCGGGGGGCAGATGACACGATGCACATCCTCGTGGATGGAGAGGATATGGGGCCTGCAGCCACTGGCATTGCCAAGGTAGACCAGAGAGCTTCCTTGGGTTCTGGGAGTGTGGTTGAGGTCTTCTGCTGATCTCTGAGTTTTTGGGTCTTGTGTGTCTCCCAGAACGTGTGGGCTGTGTTGGATCTCTACGGGCCAGTTCGCAGTGTGTCAATTGTCAGTTCCACGAGGCTAGAGGAGTCAGAAGGCACCCAGCCTCCTTCCCCCAGTTCAGACACCGGCAGTGAGGGCGAGGAGGATGACGAGGGCGAGGAGCGTGGCCTGGGAGTAAGAGGCTGCAGGACGGTCTGCTATGCATAGGGATGGGCAATTGCTGGGCTGTTGGATGCCAGGCCTTTTCTGGATTTTCTGTTCATTGGGTGGAGGCTCACATTCGGGCTCTGTGCAGATGCCAGTGAGTGGGTCGATCCTGGCATTGGCAACCCATGCAGCTTAGTCCCTTCCTCCACACCAGGGCCAGAATGAAGTAGGTATCATGCCTGCCACCCTCGAGTTCCTCGAGAACCATGGGAAGAATATCCTCTTGTCTAATGGGAACCGTACGGCCACACGGGTGGCCAGCTACAATCAGGGCATCGTTGTCATCAACCAGCCTCTGGTGCCCCAGCTGCTGGTCCAGGTGGGCTCTGCCTCCTTATCCCTAGCTCCTCTCGCTCCACAGTGACCCAGGACCAACCTTCCTGAAGAAAGCCTTTTTTGAGTGGAGAAAAAGAAAGCAAGCCACTTGGATGAGCTTCCTGGGCTTTTATTCATAGCCTGTAATGGGGGTTGTCAGTCAGTTACCATGAAGTCCCTAGCTGGTGACTGGTAAGTGAAGCAGTAGGGACAGGCTGGAGTAGTCCAAGGGAAATGCTGGATCCTATATGTGGGGGCAGAGATGCCTTTCCAGAAGAGGGGGCCTTTTGACTACAAACAGGAAGATATGTCAAAAGGTAGCCAGGTAAATCTGGGTGCGATGGGTCATATCTGTAATCCCAGCACTTTGGGAGGCTGAGGCAGGCGGATCGCTTGAGCTCATGAGTTCATGACCAGCCTGAGCAACATAGCGAAACCTTGTCTACAAAAAAAATTTAAAAATTGGCTGGGCGTGGTGGCTCACGCCTGTAATCCCAGCACTTTGGGAGGCCCAGGTGGGTGGATCATGAGGTCCAGAGATCGAGACCATCTTGCCCAACATAGTGAAACCCTGTCTCTACTAAAGTACAAAAATGGGGCCGGGTGTGGTGGCTCACGCCTGTAATCCAAGCACTTTGGAGGCCAAAGCGGGTGAATCACCTGAGGTCGGGAGTTCAGGACCAGCCTGACTAACATGGTGAAACCCCGTCTTTAAAAAATAAATAAATAAATAAATAAATAAAGTACAAAAATGGGCAGGGCATGGTGGTACGTGCTGTATTCCCAGCTACTCGGGAGGTTGTGGCAGAAGAATTGCTTGAACCCGGGAGGCAGAGGTTGCAGTGATCTGTGATCGCGCCACTATACTCCAGCCTGGCGCCTGGTGACAGAGCAAGACTGTCTCAAAAAAAAAAAAAAAAAAAAAGCTAGCTAGGTGAAGGAGTACTAGGGATAAGATTCCTTACAACAGAGGCAACAATAAGATAAAGATTCAAACAGGGAAGGTGCAGAGCAGATAATTTTTTTTTTTTTTGAGACGGAGTTTCACTCTTGCCCAGACTGGAGTGCAACAGCGATCTTGGGGCTTACTGCAACCTCCACCTCCCGGGTTCAAGCGATTCTCATGCCTCAGCCGCCCCAGTAGCTGGGATTACAGGCATGTACCATCATGCCTGGCTAATTTTGTATTTTTAGTAGAGACGTGGTTTCACATGTTGGTCAGGTTGGTCTTGAACTCCTGACCTCAATTGATCCACCCGCCTCAGCCTCCCAAAGTGCTGGGATTACAGGCATGAGCCACCGCACCCAGCTGATGGTTCTTTTTTTTTTTTAAAGAGGAGAAAAAACAACTACATTTGTATTTCTGGTGCTTCCAAGCATAAGAAAAGGCAGCATCCCAGGCCACACTCTGGGAGGTGCAATATTCCCTCCTTGGCTGGGGTGAGGAGCCTGGCTCTTCCCAGGAGGCTGTGATTGTGGAGTAGTTCCTTCTTCCCCAGGTGCGGATAGATTTCCTAAACCGACAATGGACATCTTCCCTTGTCCTGGGAGTCATCACCTGTGCACCTGAGAGGCTCAACTTCCCTGCTTCTGCCTGTGCCCTCAAACGGGCAGCCTGGCTGCTTCGGGGCCGTGGGGTCTTCCACAACGGTCTCAAGGTGAGTAGGAGCCAGAGAGAAGGGACGGGACCACGCCTCAGTAGGGAAGGGCTGGCCAGAAGGGAGAAGAGGGACCCCTGGCCCTGGAGGTAGGACCACAGGTCTAAAAGGGGGACAGTAGTGGACAGGCAAGGCTGAGTACCACTGCCTGGTCAGTCTTAGGCCTGCTGCTTCCTGCAGTGTCCCTGCCATTGAGAATGTGCCAATTTTTGGAAGGGGAGGGGCTCTAGGTAACTGCAGTGGGAGGAGAGCCTCGGCAGCAGGCAAGTGTGGAGGCAAAGCCAAGGCACTGGCAGCAGGAAACAGAGTAAAGGGCGGGACAGCTGCTGTGGTGGAGTCTGACCTCTGGAAGACAGCTGGTCTCTCCTCCCAGATCTGTGAGAAGTTTGGGCCAAATCTGGACACGTGCCCTGAAGGCACCATCCTGGGACTGCGGCTGGACAGCTCTGGGGGACTGCATCTCCATGTCAATGGGGTGGACCAGGGGGTAGCTGTGCCAGATGTGCCCCAGCCCTGCCATGCGCTTGTAGACCTCTATGGCCAGTGTGAGCAGGTTAGTGGCAGTGGGGGCAGGGAGGAGGGGTGCCTGAGAGTCTGGGCTGTCCAGGACAGGGACAGTCTGTGGTCCAGGATCCGCAGGCTCTGGGATCTGACCAAGCTCTGTCTGACTACCCTCTTCTCTGCAGGTGACAATCGTGAACCCAGAACCAGGGGCTACCAGTGGGAAAAGTTCTGGAACCCAAGGGGACATGGAGAAAGCAGACATGGTGGACGGTGTGCCAGCCCAAAGGGACCCAGCTCCTGCCCCACTCCCCAACCCCGACCCTTCTAGGCCAGCTTCTGTGACCTGTGCCCCTCTGCTCCCTCAGGTATCAAGGAGAGTGTGTGCTGGGGTCCACCACCTGCTGCTAGCCCTCTAAAGAGCTGCGAGTACCATGCCCTTTGCTCTCGCTTCCAAGAACTCCTCCTGCTTCCTGGTGAGTCCCAGTCCCCCAGAACTGACTTCATTCCCAGGGCCAGGCCCAGAGCCTTGGAGAGCAGTTGGAGGGTGGCAGTGTGCTGGAGATCAAGGGTGGGAGCCCAGCACCAAGCCTGCTACTCACTGTCCCGCAGAAGATTATTTCATGCCTCCGCCAAAGCGAAGCCTCTGTTACTGTGAGTCTTGCTGGAAGCTGCGAGGAGACGAGGCCCACAGGCGCAGAGGGGAGCCTCCCCGGGAATACGCATTGCCCTTTGGCTGGTGCAGATTCAACCTCAGGTACATATGGGCAGGGTCATGCATTTCCCCTACTGTTTGCTCCCTGGAGAAATGGGGATCCCAAGAGGGTGCATGGAAGAAGTGATAGAACTTTTGTCTAGGGAAAAGCCAGGAAGTGCCAGAAACTTCTTAAGGAAGAGCCCTGTGAAGCTCCTCCATGGGGGAGCCAGTGGCCTTTGTTCTACCTGCCCCGCTTGTCCACCTCCTAGAGTGAATCCCTGCCTGGAGGCTGGGACACTAACCAAGAAATGGCACATGGCATATCACGGGAGCAATGTGGCGGCTGTACGGAGAGTGCTGGACCGAGGGGAGCTGGGAGCAGGTACTGGGAGCAGGCCCTCGCAGGGTGGCTGAGCCCGGGGGCTGTGGAGGAATAAAGAGGGCTGTCCTAACCCAGTTCTCCTCCCAGGTACTGCCTCCATCTTGAGCTGCCGTCCCTTGAAGGGAGAGCCTAGGGTAGGGTTTGAGGAGCCTGGCGAGAACTGTGCACCTCCTCGGGAGGAGCAGCCCCCTCCGGTGCTGCTTTCCCCCTCCCTTCAATATGCTGGGGCTGAGCCCCTGGCCTCCAAAGTGCAGTGAGTACTGGGAGGGGCGGGGGGAGATCTCCAGGGCCTCAGACAAAGAGAGGCCCCAGCGCAGCCACTGGGGTCTTCGTGATTTACCCTCCCCTTTTCTCATCTTGTCTTGCTAGCTGCCCAGTCTCCAACTCAGCCCTTTCTTCACTTACTGAACAAATACCACTTGTATGCTCTTCTAGTGGGCAAAAAAAGGAACCTTGCTCTTGTGGAACTTCTGCCTTTACTCTATAATGTTTATACATAATAAATATTTAGTATGTCTAAGTAAGAACTACGGAAACAAAGAGTGGGGTGAAGGAAACAGCAGTGCTGTTGCTGTGGGCATCGTAAGAAGGTGGGAGGCCAGGTGGATTACGCCTGTAATCCCAGCACTTTGGGAGGCCGAAGCGGGCAGATCACAAGGTCAGGAATTCAAGGCCAGCCTGGCCAATATGGTGAAACCCCGTCTCTACTAAAAATACAAAATTAGCCTGGCATGGTGCCACACGCCTGTAGTCCCAGCTACTTGGGAGGCTGAGGCAGGAGCATCACTTGAGCACAGGAGGCAGAGGTTGCAGTGAGCTGGGATTGCGCTACTGCACTCCAGCCTGGAAGGTGGGAGATACTTGAGCAAAAGCTTGAAGAAGGAAGTAAAAGGTGAAATGAAGTGAAGGAAGTGAAGGGTAGCTGGGCAGGCTTTGGGAGGAGGAGCGTTTCAGGTAGAAAGAACGGCTAGAACGAAGTTCCCATCAGGTGGGAGGATTTCCTAGGTACAGCAAGGCTTGTGTGGTTGGAACAGACTTTGCAAGGGGAGAGGTGATGGGGCGAGAGGCTTCACTCCCCTATTTCTTGTCTGACAGATTCCGGGACCCCAAATCCCAGCGGACGCACCAGGCTCAGGTGGCGTTCCAGGTGTGTGTGCGTCCTGGCTCCTACACCCCAGGACCCCCTTCCGCTGCTCTTGGAGAAGCTTCTGACCCTCACTTCAGCCCAGCCGAACTTGAGTGGGTCACTAAGGAGAAGGGGGCCACACTCCTCTATGCCCTGCTGGTACGGGTGGAATGAGGGGTGAGACACCACTACTACAAGCACAGTCGGGCCTCAGGCCCATGGACTCTGAATGGCGACTGCCTCCACCTCATTCCCATGACTGTGGCATGCGCAGGTGCTGGGGCTCGGCGGCCGCTCAGGAGCATGTAGGCAGGCTCTCAGATGTAGGCGGGAAGCGGCACAGCTCCAGGTCCAGAGGCCCAGCACTCCGTCTGATGGGAGGAGCTGCGGGAGCCCAGCTCCAGGCCTTGGTACCCTTCTTCATGCACTGATTTGCGGAACATGACTCCCTATTACTCCCCTCCCCAACATCACTTAATTTATTTCCATTTTTGTTTCTGGTTACTGTGAATCCCAGAGGAGTCTCTACCTGTGCCCACATGAAGCTGCTTTTTCCGGGGCCACTGGGCGGGAGTGGGGAAGGGCGGGCGCACGGAAGACGGGGGCCTCTGTCCAGTTGTTACTGACTCTGATTTCTAAGGAGCCAATAAACACCGTCTCAGAGCCTCCGCCTCAGCCTCTCTCTCACGCGCCCCTTTCCGGAGCCTGAGTCCCCTGGGGTACTGCCAGGCGGGCCCGCGAAATTTCTCTTAACTGAGGATGCTAAAGCAGTTGTGCAGCGTCCGTCGCCTGCGTTGCTGGCGATGGGATTTGGACACTGCGAGCACCCGTCGCAGCGCGCTTCCGCTTTCTCTGACCCAACCAGTGATGTCGGCCTCCGCCGTGACTCCGGAAGGACTCGCCGGGCCGCTGGATGTGACGTAGGGGCCAGGGCGCGCCGGATCCGCGGAGAAAGCGCAGAGAAGGCGGGTAAGGGGTGCTGGTGTCCGGGCTAGCCAGGCAGGGAGCGGCAGCACCGAGCCGGGGACCCAGCTCCGCCCGCGCGCGTGCTGGAGCGGGGGCTGCGGGCTCGGCCGGGTGGCGGGCTCCCGGGACACGTGACCGGGGCGGCGAGCGGGCCGGGCGGACGGGTTTCCGCCTGAGCCGGGCGCGGTCCCCTCTGAGCGCCCGCCTCCCCGTAGGTCTCGTCTGAGGTCTGGCAGTGAGAGACAGCCGGGCGTCCACGGCAGCACCATGCCTGCACTTCTGGAGCGCCCCAAGCTTTCCAACGCCATGGCCAGGGCGCTGCACCGGCACATTATGATGGAACGGGAGCGCAAGCGGCAGGGTGAGCCGGGGCCATAGCGGGGGGCATATGGCCCAGAATGGCTCCTGTACCTCACGGCTGGCCCCAACCCACCGGCCAACGTGCGCGCCCGCTGCCGAGCGCAGAGGAGGGAAGGAACAGCCTTGTTGTGGTAGGATTTAAGCGTCCTAGTCCACTCTCCAGAACCCTTGAGCTAGGAAGGACCTTGGAGAGCACCTGATAAAAGTCTCCATTCTATTCCCTATTGCAGCGATGGGGAGCTTGTCCCCTCGAGGCAAAGAGCCCACAGGCGTGTTGGGATGACTGGGTTTTGCTGGTCTTCAATCTGTAACGTTGGAATTTTTATTACCCTGCCTCTTCCTCATTCTGTCTGATTCTCCAGAGGAAGAAGAGGTGGACAAGATGATGGAACAGAAGATGAAGGAAGAGCAAGAAAGAAGGAAGAAAAAGGAAATGGAAGAGAGAATGTCACTAGAGGAGACAAAGGAACAAGTAAGCAGTCCCTTGATCTCTCCAAGCTCTGATTTCTTCCCTTGACTCTCCCTGCCTTCATCTTCTCTCCCCACCCTATCCCAGATTCTGAAGTTGCAGGAGAAGCTTTTGGCCCTACAGGAAGAGAAGCACCAGCTTTTCCTGCAGCTCAAGAAAGTTTTACATGAGGAAGAAAAACGGAGGCGCAAGGAACAAAGGTGGGATCAGAGTGATAAAAACCAAAATGGGGGCCAAGTGGAACGGGGATCAGATTGTAGGAGAACCAGTGTTTAATGACAAAACAGAGGGTGTCTGTCCTTGACTTTAACCTGTTTACCTTTCACTCTAGTGACCTGACCACCCTGACATCAGCTGCATACCAGCAGAGCCTGACTGTTCACACAGGAACTCATCTCCTTAGCATGCAGGGTGAGGACTAAAACTACCTGACAGAACCAGCCTTCTTTGAGGTTGCAGCCTCCCATTTCAGCATCCTGACGCCCTTCTCCCTTTCTAGGGAGCCCTGGAGGACACAATCGCCCAGGAACCCTTATGGCAGCTGACAGAGCCAAACAAATGTTTGGACCCCAAGTGCTTACGGTAAGAATAGGATTGGATGCCTAGTCCCAAATATCCTTGCCACCAGTATTCAAGTCACAGACATATCAAGCACTTAAATTTAGGGGGAAACAGCATAAAGATATACACAAGTCACTGAGTTTCAGCTTTCAAGGAGCTTGTAGGCGAGTTCTCATTCTCCCTCCTTAGACCCGGCACTATGTGGGCTCAGCAGCTGCTTTTGCGGGGACACCAGAGCATGGGCAATTCCAAGGCAGTCCTGGTGGTGCCTATGGGACTGCTCAGCCCCCACCTCACTATGGGCCCACACAGCCAGCTTATAGTCCTAGTCAGCAGCTCAGAGGTGAGTCATTGGAGGGATGGGGGCTTGGCTTTCCTCAGGGTCAAAAGAGGAATGCTATTGAGTAAAGGGTTAATAGCTGTGTCTCTTTCTCAGCTCCTTCGGCGTTCCCTGCAGTGCAGTACCTATCTCAGCCACAGCCACAGCCCTATGCAGTGCACGGCCACTTTCAGCCCACTCAGACAGGTGATAATATCCCATGCAGGACCTCTAGCTCACTGAGTCCTCCCCTCCCTGTCTCACATGCCCCTGCTCCCCACCTAGGTTTCCTCCAGCCTGGTGGTGCCCTGTCCTTGCAAAAGCAGATGGAACATGCTAACCAGCAGACGGGCTTCTCTGACTCAGTGAGTATGGCCCTTGGGAGGTCAGGGTTAAGGATATGTTAAGGGGAGCTTCAGTATGCCTCAGGCCCTGACTCTGTTCTCTGCAGTCCTCTCTGCGCCCCATGCACCCCCAGGCTCTGCATCCAGCCCCTGGACTCCTTGCTTCCCCCCAGCTCCCTGTGCAGATCCAACCAGCGGGAAAGGTAAGAATGGTAATAACCTTACCTGTCAGAATCCCTACACTGGGGATCCAGAAAAGCACAATTAGGTAGGACAGGTAGCCCACATCATCTGGTTTTTCCTTCCTCTTTGGGGGTGGTTATTAGTAAGGGTATTAGTGGAAAGGAGAGTATGCCCAGTGACAAAGCCCTCTTTTCATCACCACCGCCAGTCGGGCTTTGCAGCTACCAGCCAACCTGGCCCTCGGCTCCCCTTCATCCAACACAGCCAGAACCCGCGATTCTACCACAAGTGACCATCAGATTATTATCTTCAGCACCATACCCCCCATCCCACTGTGGGTGAGGGTACCCCCTGTGTGTCCCAGGCCAATAAAATCTACCTGCCACTGCCCCTGGCTGCTGCTGTTTGTGTTGCCTCCCACCCAACTGTCTGGAATAGGTCAAGGCTGCTTGGAGGGTCAGGGGACGGCTGGCAGGTCCACAGGAAGTGATACAAGTAGTGGGTTCCAATGAACTCAGTGGCAGAGGTCAGTCTTTTTGTGGCTTCCAAAATATACCCATTTAATTGAAATAAGCAGCTGAGTTGGGGGCTTCATATTAAACTTGTAGTTTTATTCAGGTTTGATTTTAACAAATGTGTCGGGGAGAGAGCCCGCAGGGAAAGGTAAAGCCCATGGGGGCAGGGCCCTCCCAGATGCCTGAGGAGGGGCAAGTCCCCTCCCCTCTCCTCCTTTTCCCTCCCCATCTAAAGGGGTTTGGGGAGAGACACAGGCAGGGGAGGGGCTGATCCCCAGTCTGTTGGGATGGTGCTTAGGGTAAAGGGCCATGGGGAACAGAGGACCAGACCAGGGATGAGTGGGGAGGGCATAAGGACCATTTGCCAGAATCCACTGCTTTCTGATTCCAGATTGAATTAAAAAAAAATAAAAATAAAAAAAAAATAAACCACAAGCAGCACCCACCCCTTCTCCCCCACCAGGGCTGTAGTGTGAGGGGAGGAGAGGAGGGCAGCTCACCAAGGCCATGGCTTCGCTTGCTCCTGGCCAAGGGAGCTAGGTGAAGGGCAGGGGCTCCCCGACAGATTGGGGGGTGGGGTGGGGAAAACCAAAATAAAACGTCAAATAAATTGTGTAGGAGTCGTCCAGCCTAGGACCAGGCCAGAGCCAGGTCAGGCTGGGGGAGGGGGCCTCTGCAGGTTCAGAGGATCACTGCTGCCACCACCGCCACCCTGGGTTGGAGAGAGAAATTGGTAAGAAAGGATAATACCTTCAACAGGAAGGATAGAGAAGACAGGGCCAGGCTAGGGGCAGAAAGTAAGCCTGGAGCAATTAAGACTAGAGCAGCTCTGCTGAGGACAACAAAATGTAAAGGGGATAGTGAAGGATTTGTGATACTCACCAGAGAGCCAGTTATTTTGCCATGGCCTTAATTGCAACAGCTGCCTCCTCTGTCATGGCAGACAGCACCGTGATCTGGAGGAGCAAGAGGGACAGCCAGGAGATGTCTGAGCTCAGAGGAAAAAATGTACAGAACAAAGTTGAGCACAAAAGCAGGGAGGAAGGCACCATACCAGGATCTCTTCTCCACAGTCGTACTTCTGCTCAATCTCCTTGCCAAGATCTCCCTCAGGCAGACGAAGGTCCTCTCGAACCTCCCCACTGTCCTGGAGCAGTGATAGGTACCCATCCTGGATGCCAATCAGCTGGGGGCACATAGGGAAGGAAGCTGAAGGTAGTAAGCCCAGGTAGGCTGAGAGTAAAGGCTCTGATAGACAAATTGGAATGACAGCAAACTAATACCAAATACCCTCTCCTGCCATTTCCCTCCTATCTCCCAGCACAAGCTCTTCTGGTCAGCCCCTGCCCTCCAACCCCCCTCCACCATAAACCACTAACCCATCCTCATTCAGACCATCTACATACCTGGAAATCATTCCTTTTGATGTTGGGGACATCCATATTATGAGTTGACGGGCAGATATCTTCATATTTCTTCCCAGTAAAGATGTCAATACCAACCAGGTGGACCTGTATGTATGCATCACAGAGAAACCCAACCAAACTCTAAGATGGAGAAAATAAAGTCTCAAATTAATCTTGCCTGATGAGGGAAGTCCGACTACATTGTTGGGGCAAAGACTGGGAGTGTTGGAATTGAACCAATCAACTCAAGAAACAGTAAAGCCTCTTAAAAGAAAAAAACCAACCAACAGAGGCTAAAAGACCACCACTGAGATTGGGGTTGACAGCACAAGAGAAAACGGCATGGCAGGCTTGGAGAACACAGTTGATGCTAAGCGTCTAGGGGAGGCGGGAGGAGTCTGGGTAAAAGTTTGCAAGAGTTTTCTGGACACCAGGGTAAGGAACTGAGAAATTGGGAAATAAGGTAGAAGGAAACGGCTAAGAAAACAAGAAATGTGAAAGAGCTGAAGAGAAAAAGGGACTTGCAGGGAGATCAGAAATAACTATGCAACCAGAAAATAAGGATGCCAGAAGAGCACAGAGAAGGATCTAGCCATTAGGGAATAACTCAAGATCAACATCAAGTCAAAAGATGGAAAAACTGATTAAGGAAGATCACCACAAGAAACAATAAGAACGAACCAGGTTGAAAAAATTCTAAAGAGACGGGATAAGTCTCAGGTGATGAGGGAGGTGCTAGCAAGAATGTTAAAACCCAAGAAAGCATGGAGGTTCAAGGAACCCAAGGAGAGTGGGATGGGGCAGGTAGGGGGAGTGTGATCCTGCATCAGAGTTCCAAAGGGAAAGCTAGAACTGAGGAATCAAGCAGCAAAGTGATCTGAGAGTTCTGAATGCAGGAGTCCCTCCCTCCAGGGGAAGGCCTCATTCTGTCAGAATTGGAGAAACCTTGGGCATAGTAATGGAAACCACCACCTACAACGGCTCAAGGGAAGAGAGAAACAGAAAAAGTGAAAACCAAGAATAAGGAAGGAGCAACTGAACAGCTAGAGCACAAAGACTGTGAATTGAAGTTAAGAGACTGGCACAAAGCTGGAGAGATGGAGGGAATGTCAGAGAATGATGGGGGGACAGAAGGATAACCACAAGAGGCTGAAGACTGGGGAGCAGGTGTAGTGGTCTCAATGGGTATGAGGGCTGAGTCCTAAACAAAAGGAATCAGACAATCAAAGCAAAGTCAAAGGAAGGTCAGCACTGTTGGCAGCTTGCTGCTGGGAGCGCCAAGGATACTGGAGGCATAGGGGAAAGCAAGATGTGGAAGTGAAATTCTAACCTTGGCGTGGCCGTGCTTGCCAGTCTTCGAAGTAGACATCTCGACGATCTTACATGGCCGGCCTTTGAGCACCACAAAGCCATTCTTACGTAATGCTGAGCACTGCATTGGGAAGGTGGCTGAGGCCCCTGCATCTCCTGTCTCGAAGTCCAAATCATCTGCCATTTTAAGAGGCTTCGATTCCAACTAGAGCCAAGAAGAGAACTGAAGTGAATAAGCATGGAGGTTAACAGGACCTCCAATCTATCCCATTTCTCTCTAGAAACATTTTCCCAACTCTTTATTCCATTACCCACCTAAAATAAAGTCAAAGTTCCTGAACTTAAATACTGACTGGGCTCAAATATACTCAAGACTGGTCTGTATATGGGAGGGTGGAATAGCTGGTTTCTCCCCCACAAATCAAAGCTAAAGTGGTGGCTTGGGAAAGGAAGGCTCTAGGGAGCTGGAATGTCAAAACTCAGAGATGAGAAAAGGCCTACTTCTTGGGAGGGGGGAGGACTCAGGTATTACCTGCCACTGAAACCAACCACCCCTCTCCCCCCACATATAGCCAAGGCTATAATTAGGTGAGCAGCTATGATCCAGCAAAAGGGCAGGGCTAATGTGGAGAGGGAGGGTGGAGACCGGAGGACAAGGCCCCACCCATCTGTTACACACCCCCCCCCCCAATCCACACACAAACCAGTCACTGCTACAGGAAACCACAAGGCCTCTTTGGGGGATTCCCGCCTCGCCAACATGCACTTGCAGATGGAGCCAAGGGAGAGAAAGCAAAGTTGTTTCCGAAATGATCCCCCTGCCAAACACCTCGATCTTGGTTCCCAAAGAGAACCCAGGAACCCAGCCTCTCCTGGAAGGTCCTCCCACTTTTCCCAGGATGCATCTGTTCTGTCGGCTTTTCAGGCCGGGCCAGTACAGTCAGTAGAAAGTGGGAGAGGTGGGGGGTGGTGAATGACAATAAAATGAAAGCAAAAGGTTGGTAGTAGTGAGTAGTAGAAATCATACTAGGCTAGTAGAGTTAAGGACTTCGAAACCGAGGAACTCTCAAACCAGTTACAACGGGAAGACAGTGACAAGGTGAAGAGCGCCTATCACAGTGGGAAACTCATCTGCCTGAGACTTTAAAGGCGCTGTCGGCACGGGCCGACAGAAGAGTTGGGCTCCTGTCTAAACGCCCTCAGTTTCCCCATTTCTCCGGCCTCCCTGCTCGGAGGAGTGCCACTTACACCTGGCTGGCCGCCTCACTTTCCAGGAAGCTTTTGGAGGAAAACTCCTGAGGCCCATGAGATTGGAAGCGCTAACATATGCCTGCAGCGGGCCCTCCGGGGTAATCAGGACCCGGGCCTCAGGCTTCTCCCACTCCTGAAACTCCAGGCACCCTAGGACCCCCAGCAAGGACTAGCTCTCCCCGCGGTAGAAGCTGCCGGCTCCTGCCGACCATGTGGCCGTCCAGGGCTTCCGGTGGCCGGGACCTAGGGGGAGGGGTCCCCGCGCTGCCATGCGGCCCCGGTCCACGCACGGCCATGCGGCCTGAGACCCCCGAGGGCAGCCTCCCGTGGGGGGCACTTCCGGTGCTGCGGCCGCCCCCTCCTCAGAGGCTACGCCAGGCCGGAGCCACGCCGCCTCCCCTCCCCCCGACCGTCCGCCAACCCCCCCCAACATGCCCTCTCACCGAATAGCCCCCTCCCCCACCTCAAGTGGCCGCGCGGCGCCCGGTCCTCAACGGCGAGGTACCCTTGCCCCGGTGGGCCGATCTGGCACCTGGCCCTCACCCCGGCGTGGCCGCCTGGCGGCCTCTCCCGCGTGGCGGCCGCGCGGCTCACCGTCCCCCTCCCTGCGTCGCTCCAACGTCACCGGGCCGGCCCCAACCGTCACCCCGCGCGCCAACCGGGGCGCGCGCCCGCGCCTCTCCGCACCTCGCGCCGCTCTCCGACCGAGCCCGTGCCGCGGCGGTCGCCGCTCCCCTCTGCCCCCTCCCCGACCCCCGCGCAGTTCCATCTCTCCTCCCAAGCCCAAGTCAAGGTACCGCGCACGCGCGCCCTGCCCGCTCTCACCTCGCGCGAACGCACTGACTCGACCCCGTCCGCCCGTCGCGAGCCCAACCGCTGCCTCCAAGCCCGCTGCCGCCGCCGCCGC